CTACCGATTGAGCTAACCGGGCCTCGTATCGAGGCTTTGCTTGTTGAAAGCTGAGGGCGAAAATTATGTACATGAGCATAGCTGCGCTGCAAGATTCTGTTAGTCTCCCATGGCTGATCGTAAGGTTCTAGTCTTGAATATGACATCTGAAGCAAAAGATGCCTGGAGCCCATAGGGAACCATCAGCTTAGTGTAAACTCTGAGCCTGATGATGTTACCAATGTGCATCATATCTATGCTTTAAGACTTGCGATGTTCTTTCCAAACACTTGATACTGAAATATTGAGATAGGAATCTGAGAATTACGTTATAGGGTAACATCAACCCCAAGGCATTTGTATGATCCGAGTTAGCCAACTTCGTGAATGCACCAGCAATAGAAGATATCTCCCGTGGGACATAGAGTTATAGTCTGAGTGATAATGAGTTTTAATATTCTTCCGTTTTATGTATCATCTGACCATGGTACGCCGACCAAGTCTCCCATAATCCGATTGACTTTTGACTCCCCCGATGGGTCGCCTTCATATAGAGAAACACAAAGTCGACCCAACTTATCCACGCCATGCAGGTAAGGTGTCCAATGAAGCGCAACCCAATTCGATAACCCAGAGTCCTAAAGACTCACCAACACTCCCATTTTTACCGGATCCCGTCCAGCTAAGTGCTATATATCACGTCCTACTAGAGAACCACCAAAGATGATTGTCCAGTGTCTAACTCCCCGATCGTCCCCTGCTTTAGTTCTCCTTCTCCAGGCCCTCAAGCTCCTTCAGCACGGACGACTTAGTGTTAATCTTCTTGAGCTGGGTATCCTCCAACTTCTCTCCACCAGCCAAGCGCATTTCAAGATCCTCAATAGCGCGGACCTTCTTTTGGAGACTGCGGATTTTCTTCGCGTTGGGGTTCTGAGAAGCATCAGCGGCGGCGGCGGCAGCAGTGCCTTGAGCCTGCTGCTGGTTTCCGTGGCCGTTGCGGTGCGTGTTGCTGCGGCTACGTGCCTGGTTGTTGCGAGACTGGCTTCGGTTGCGGTGGTTGCGTCGCTCGGGGCTGCGACCCTCGTGGCCTCGGTCGTGAGAGGGAGGAGCCAGGCTAGCTCCACCGTTGGGCTCGCCCTGGGGTCGACCACCCTCACCCTGGGCATTCTTCTTGTTTCTCTTCTTCTTGTTCTTGGACTTGGCCGAGTTTTCGTCGCCCAGCGGCTCAGCACCAGGAACAGTTCTAACGGCAGGAGTTTGCTCAGCAAATTCCGCGCCTGGTACACCCCGGCGTGGGCGGCCGAAGCCATTGGGACCAACGTTGGGCAGACCGTTGCTCACAACATGGGCAGCGCCGCCCTCGTCCTCACGCTTGAAGTGAAGGGGTGTGGCCAGACCACGGGCACCGGGAGGGCGATAAGCACCTGCAGGCTTACTGGGGGTCTTCGCCGTAGCCAGGAACGCCGCAGCGGAGGCGTGTGGTGTAGGAATGGGGCTCAAGGGGTCACCGGGAGCGATGCTCTCGGGACCCTGAGGTCGCCAAATAACATTGTACAACTCGACCATATCTTCATTGTACATGATGCTGCCGCTAACGTGCCACAGCTTGACGCCGTTGTCCACACGGAGTCGAGGAGAGGTAGTAGCAGTCATGATGTAGCGGCTGTCGGGACTCCACTCGCAAACACTGGGGTTTCCACTCTCGATGGTGGTAACCCTTCGGAAATCCTTCTCGAGGTCGTAGATATCGATCTGACCAGCAAGGTTACCGAATCCTGCAACAAGGACAAAACGTCCGGTTGGCGAGAAAGTGATGGTGTTTCGAGGAGCGATCGGGAACGAGTGAGTCGCAACGGCGCGGTGGTTGAAGATGGTAGCCTTGGCAGGCATGTATCCGTAAACAACACCGAACTCTCTCGAGTTGGGCGACCAAGAAACATCGTGGATGGGACCCTCCTTATCCAGGGCAACGCGAGCATCAAAAGCACCAGTGGTGCTAAGCAGATACAGCGTGGTCTCGCCGTAGTAACTCTTGCCTGAGCGATCAACGTCAGTTTGCGCCAAAACCAGAATGCTGGAGCCGAGCTTGTTCCACTTCAGTTGGACCTTGTCTCCCTTGAAGAAAGTCTTTTGAGAGATAGGGTTAGTGAAGAGAGGAACATTGAAAACCTTGACGGCAGCGGGTTGGCCCTGGAAAATGTTAGCAAAGAGATCTAAGTATAGGCTGTTGATCAATAACTCACCTTGCGTTCAGGAACGAAAACGGCGACAGCATGGTTCTGGCTACCAGGAGCCAGGGCGAAGTTAGTAGCGCCTTCGACTCGAAGCTTGTTCCAGACCTTGACGAGGTCGTGGCTCTCGTAGAACTGGACCTCGTTGGTGACAAGACGAGCACAGTACTTCTCATCGGCTGTGTATTGAAGGTTCCAGCCTTGCTGCTGCTTTTGAACAAAGCGACCAAGGGGCTGCTTGTCCTGGCCAGCAACGCCCTCCTCTACAACTCGCCAGACTTTGAGGTTCTTGGTAGCATCGCCGTTCTCATCCTTACCGGGGCGTTCCCAGGTGATGACGAAGGTGCCACGGGGAGAGAAACCTAGTTCGTAGACGTTGAGGATGGGCAGGGAGAGGACCTGTTGACCAGTCGAGGCGTCAACAACGACGACAACCTCGGGAGAGGCCCAGCCGAAGTATCGGCCACAGGGCGAGTAGGTACAGTACCGGAGGTTACCCTCAGGCTTGTTGAACCCAGCGAGAGACTCGTAGACAGGCGCAGCGTCAAAGACGCCGATGGTCTTCTGGGTTCGGTAGGCAAACTGCAGCGGAGACGCCATGGCTAGTGAAAGTCACAGTATCTCGTGTCTTGCGGTAGTCTTTTTGAGGCCGGTTTCAAATGTTCTGTCGTAATCGTGGAGGTAGATTTTGATGTAGATCGCGATCGTGGGGCAGGAAAGCTTAGGCTCAGTTGCGGATTGGGCGAGAGCAAGGAGCTGGAAGAAGCTGTATACTTTGTTTGACTACGCAATCAAGAGCAGTGCAAAGTAGTTGCTTGGCTGTATATATCGACTCGATTAAGAGTTGATTACCGAGCAAAGGAAGTTGGTCGCCAGAGACGTGGTTTGAAGTCGCTGAACAACAAACTAGAAGTGGCGGGGAATATCGATATCGATTGCGATCCAATGTAAGGAGGTATGCGGAGCGAAGTCTGAACCTGCGAATAGGTGAAGCAGACGTACGTTAAAGACAAGAACTTATTCGATGACCGGGAGGAAGATGAAAAGAAGACGGCAAGTCACCCAGGAGGGAGGGGAGGAGGAATTGGCGCGGCAGGGCCGTGATGTTTTGGGCTGAGAAGGGAAACAAGAAGAAGAGAGGAAGAAGTTGGAGGCTTGGCCACTAGCAAAGGATGTTTTTTGTTCGTTTTTTTCCTTTCCCGCCCAGGGCTGGGCTTGCTCCAGCTACATGGAGTACAGTACGTTACAGTACTAACGGCATGCTCCCTTTTTTCGCCTGCCCGGGCACAAGCCACCTCTAGGTACTTAGGTACTTGCAGCGCACTTGACTCAGTGTCTGCACTGCATTGTCTCACTCCACTGAATGAACCTCTATTCAAGGCATCGCATTGGAGTTTGCTGCTCTTCCACAGGGCACTCGGCCCCAGGTTTCTCTTTAATCGATATTCACAACCAATCGTTACTGTCGAGTCCACAATGGGTGGATTTTGATTCTCGAGGTTTCAGGCTCTTTCAGCGGGGATCCTGAGGACAAGACTACCTACGTAACTCCTTTATCCAGATCTCCATCCATGCATGGCCTTCAAGCCACGCACAAGAGCCGCATAGGCTCTATGAAAGAGTTGCTTTGGTCACTTGAATAAAGTCAAGACTAACACACAAAGCATGCTATTCCTAAAATATCACGTCAGTCTATATTATAGATTGAGACTTGAATGAAATGGCGGGCCTTTGTCCCAAGTCCACTTTGTCAAGATATTTACAGCAACGTTGATGGAAATCTCAATTCCCATAATAAGAAATTGAATTCAGCAGTGGTTCAACATCGATGCATTAATGACCTTACGATAAAAGTCTCTAGACATATAAGAGGCAATCTTTGACGCCAAGAATGGAGTGTACTCCTCCAACCGTATTGTACAACTCAGCTACCCATCACTACGTGGCACCAGTAAAGAGTCCTTTCGTCACAGAACAGCAAGAGTTCTATAGTTTGAACCCATTAGATTGCCATTGGATTATCCCTATAGCGAGGGTTTCAACGCCGTTGGAGCGAGTGACGTACAAGTAGGTATGGATCTTACTGCCATGGTACTAAGGTATCAATCATCAATGTATTTGTTTGTATCATTATAGTGTCCGAGATATCTTCCTCTGCAAGGGTCAAGTTGAACACTTTACCTGCCCTTGAACTTCTCTCTCCAACCACCCTTCTCAAATAACCAGAGAGCCTCGGTGGCATAAGCACGACTACCTCGGTGACCCCCTTCTGTCATGGCAGCTTCCGTCAAGGTGTCCAATACTCGCCCCTTCTTCACAGCACCCCACACTCCCATGGCGATGGGATGGTCTTCACTCTTACCCCATTCACCAAGTCCAAGACGATAAAGAATTCTTCCCAATGTTTGGAAAGCCATGCATCTTTGCGCAGGGACAGCACTCCTGGCAAGATGAGCTAGTTCCGCAACTGTATACCCTGCAGCCTCCGGAGCGTCACCATGGTGGTGCAAGCCCTTTGACGAAGGAATAGATCGACTGACTCTGGGTGACAAGAATCGGCCCTGGAAATCAAACCGCAAAGCGTTCACCGGAATTTCGGGGTGAGGGTAGTATGAAGAGTCTTTATCAGCAGGGCTATCCTCTGTAGGGATTGGTGCCATCCATGCGAGTTTGCTTGGGTCAGCTGGGAGATTAGGGAAGTATTTCTCATGGAGCGTAGCCAGAAAGTTCGGGTCGGAAGGGTCGAGGTCGGGTAAGGCTGGTGGAACAGGAAAATGAACCGACTTGGGTTGGTCGGTAATGGGAAATAGATCGGGCGGTATTTGCGGAGGGGCCTTGTCCTCGTCGTAGTCGTCTGCGATCTTCTTGGTAGAAGTTGCTTTCGGCTTTGAAGAGTCAGTTTCTGGTACCGACTCCACTGATGGCTTAGGTGGTCGAGCCGCAGCTGCTGGAATGTTCTTTGAAGCTTCAACTTTGTCTGCATCCTCAACTTTGATCGTAGGCGGAGGCTCAGGTGTTTCCTCTATCTCTGGTTGAGGCGGATCAAAGGGCGAAGGGCCGGTCTGTTCGTCGATATTGGCCCGTGAGAGTAACCTTTGAATGAGAGCAGGATTTAGGCCATTCATGATATCTTGTTGAGCTTGAGCGATCTCGTCGGGACTCATGCTGGCAAGCTTCTGTTGGTTCTCCCGATCGATACGCTGCTTCTCAACAGTTTCCAGATCCGCTTTCGAGGAGGTATCCTGAGGCTTCGTGGCCTCAGATTTGGACTGCTGCTGTGCACCGGTCGCCTCTCCCGCGCGTCTCTGCTTGAAGGCGGATGTTTTCCATCGTCGTTTATGCTGCGGGAAGCCGGTAGAGGATATCGGGCCGTCGTCAAATGTTACAGGCTTCTTTTTCGAAGTATCGTGCTCGACGATATCGTTAATCAAGAGTGTCGGGTCCATGTTGGGCAATTGTATTGTCGGTCATGGAGGCTTCGAGTCGAGTTCGTTCACAAAAGCTTTTGCTTCTGACGTCTTTTTTTGGTCAGTGGAGGCAGCAGCGGAGAACTCTTAATGGGGCAGGGGCCTTGTGTGACCCCACATTTTGTCCTGTAGCGCGCGTTGTGACGGATTGAGCCGTTCTTCTATGTCACGTTCCAGAATAGATTAAAAAAAAAAAAAAAAA